ATTACACTGTACTAAAAACACTTAAAGCAGAGTTCTACAAAAACTGTAACTGCTGACTTTTAAAAAACAGCCACTCGCCTGTTCCAGGATCCCATGTTGCCCCCGCCGCAGCCCGTTTCACAGGCCGTCCTATATTCCAGGCACCAGCATCTTCAATGTGGGCACCCAGCTGTGACAGCTTGCGGCTTCACAGCCGGGTGCCCACTGCACGTGTGCGAGTTGCGCTGCACTTCCTGAATGGCCCCGTCGTCTTCTGGGACCTGTCACGTGTCCCACAAGACTTCGGGGAGGGAGGTTAAGAGGACAACTTCCACTTTCGATCGCCTAAACCAGTGGTGGGCAACCTTTTTTTTCAACTGAGCCAAATCTCGCCAAAACCACGATTGAAATTTATTTTGAGAGCCACATTTTTAAAACTGAAAATACATAGGATGGTACACTGTTTTTAGTTTCAATAAGTTTTTATAGTAATTCATCCCCCATAGTAATTCATCCCCCATATAGTAATTCATCCCCCATAGTAATTCATCCCCCATATAGTAATTCATCCCCCATATAGTAATTCATCCCCCATAGTAATTCATCCCCCATATAGTAATTCATCCCCCATAGTAATTCATCCCCCATATAGTAATTCATCCCCCATAGTAATTCATCCCCCATATAGTAGTAGTAAGTAAGTAGCAAGTAGTAAGCCAAGTCCCCCGTGTCAATTCACTTACCTTTGCTCCGCGCGTTCCTCTCGCCGTGTTCCCGCGCCGTTCCGGTCTTCAGGGCGGACTGTGAGAGGAGCGTAGCAACTCTCACGTTCGTCACGCTGCCCCGCCTACACACATCCTGACAGCCAATCACTGGCTATCAGGATGTGAGTGGCAGCGAGACTGGCCAATCATTGCATTTGAGTGCGCTGCCCTGGCTGTTTTTTTTTTGGATCACGCTGCAGAGTCCCTGCCGCCTGAGAGGAGGGAGGGGAGCGGGCGCCCCCGGCACACAAGAGCCGCATTAAAGCGTGTAAAGAGCCGCATGTGGCTCGCGAGCCGCGGCTTGCCGACCACTGGCCTAGACGATTGCAGTGGAAGTGGGAGCGGGTACCTGTCAAATTCAGGTATCCATTCCCCCCCACACTCCCCAAAGGTGCCAATCCTTAACGGGGAGCGGGGACCAATCTTCACAGTGGAACTTCCCCTTTTGGGTGGAACTCCACTTTAATAACAAAAAGGTTCTTTACATAAATGCAGAGTATTTGAAAGGAGAACAAACTAATGTCTTCATCTGAGAAACAAAACTAGATCATAGTAATGGTTAAAACCAAAAGAAACTGAACCCAACCTGCATATCTACATCACTAAGTTTCCTTTATAAATCACCCGCTCTTTCAGAAATATTAACCTTTTTAACACCTGAAAAGGTGACAGAAAACACCATTATGGGTTTGCTAATAGTGCTTTTTTTTTTTTTTTTTTTTTTATAAATATTTATTGGATTTCAGTCAAATATAATTAACAAACATTTTCTTCATTAAATAGTCATTATATTCCTCTTAATTTATTTAATTCCCACAACCCTGATCCCCCCCTAAGCCCCTCCTCACCCACACCCATCACCTAGCTAATAGTGCTAATAGTGCTTTAATACACTCGATCGATGGTAAGACCCTGGGTTGCAACCATCACAATAGTTTTCTCCAGTCCTCACTCTGGGAGGACAGATTGTACATCCTACATACTGTGAAGTACAAGAAGTACACTGTATGGTATAGACCACATAGTGTATATAACAGTTAATTAAAACCCTTCATAGGGAACAGGTCTCCTTTGTGTGAAAATTCTCAGAACAATGCCATACAAAATGCTTTTAAAGGAGAAGTACAGCCAAAGCTCTTTTGGCTGTACTTCTCCTGTGGATCACAGGAGTGCAGTATGTTCTGCACTTCTGTAACCCGTTTTCAGCTGACAGCAGATTAAATGGGGAAAAAAAATAGTCCACACTTCTCTTTTAAAGTTTGATTGTGGAATGAAAAGGCTTTCCTGAACTGAAACTAAAAAAGTTCATTCGAGAAAAATTTCTTCGCAGTCAAAAATGAACATCAATTTGACCAACTAATGATTAGAAAAACGAACTTCCTTTGAACAGTTTTTTCCTAATAATTGTTGTTTAAAATTCTTCCCATCTATGACCAGCTTTAGTTCTAAGGTAACTAGGTGATAAAATCAAACCAAGCATTTGTTCCATGCGACTGGAGACCCAACGTCCATCTTTCAAGATATTATATAGTTGTTTATCAGCAAATAGAATCGAGAGATTCTTTTAATTATGTTCACTATTTGTGGATATTCAATGGAAAAAGTGGTGGAAGAGGTTAACTCTTCTTATCTCTTTATATATGTTTTCAAACCCTCGGTCAGTAGATCTATTCTGGTTCTATTAAAAGCTATATTTTTAGCTTTCAAGGTTATTCGACTGTCTTTTCATTAGGAGACTTGGATGGCACAAACCAGGCAAGCAGTACCTGTGTTTTTCTACAGATCGATTCCTTTGTGAATAGGAAAAAACCCTGGATTTTAGGTTTAGCCTGTATACAGGGCTTCAGTTTCTCTGTAGATCAATATATAAGAGTAGTATGTCTCTCTGTGCCCCATACCTGGAAGTACTCAATTTTTTTTTCAGGTTCCACTAGCAGACCTTATTCTGCTGTCTGTGCATTCCCACATGGAAGAAAAAAAATATTTGAAATATATTTTTAAAATATTCTTCCCAAATATATTGCCATATATTTGAAATGCTACAATTTTGGCCATATTCAATATATTTCAAAATATATTTCAATAATATATATATAATATATACAGTTGCAAGAAAAAGTATGTGAACCCCTTGGGATTACGTGGAGTTTTGCATGAATTGGGCATAAAATGTGCTCTGAACGTCATCTAAGTCACAACAATAGAAGAACACAGTCTGCTGAACATAATACTACACAAACATTAGATGTTGCCATGGTTTAATTGCACATAACATGTAAACATTCACAGTGCAGGGAGGAAAAAGTATGTGAGGCCCTAGCTTAATGACTTCTCCCAGAGCTAATTGGAGCCAGGAGTGAGCCAACCTTGACTCCAATCAGTGTGATGATATTGGATGTGTTGCTGACAACTGTCCTGCCCTTAAAAAACACACACCTGATTTAGGTTTACTGGTTTCAAGAAGCACTGTCTGATGTGAACCATGCCTCGCAGAAAAGAGCTCTCAGAAGACCTACGATCAAGAATTGTTGACTTGCATGAAGCTGGAAAGGGTTACAAAAGTATCTCCAAAAGCCTTGATGTTTATGTGTCCACGGTAAGACAGACTGTCTACAAATGGAGAAAGTTTAGCACTGTTGCTACTCTCCCTAGGCGTGGTCGTCCTGTAAAAATGACTGCAAGAGCACAGCGCAGAATGCTGCACGAGGTAAAGAAGAATCCCAGAGTGTCAGCTAAAGACCTACAGAAATCTCTGGCACATGCTAACATTTTTGTTGACACATTTACAATAAGGAAAACATTAAACAAGAGTGTTTGGAGTACATGGGGGAGAACACCACGGAGGAAGCCATTGCTGTCCAAAAAGAATATTGCAGAACGTTTGAAGTTTGCAAAAGAGCACCTGGATGTTCCACAGCACTACTGGCAAAATATACTGTGGACAGATGAAACCAAGATTGAGTTGTTTGGGAAGAACACACAACACTATGTGTGGAGAAAAAAAGGCACAGCACACCAACATCAAAACCTCATCCCCACTGTAAAACATGGCGGAGGGAGCATCATGGTTTGGGGCTGCTTTGCTGCCTCAGGGCCTGGACGGATTGTTGTCATTGATGGGAAAATGAATTCCAGAGTTTATCAAGACATTTTGCAGGAAAACGTACGACCATCTGTCCGCCAACTGAAGCTCCGCAGAGGATGGGTGATGCAGCAGGACAATGACCCAAAGCATTCAAGTAATTCAACAAAACAATGGCTGCAACAGCGCAGAATACGCCTTCTGGAGTGACCCAGTCAGAGTCCTGACCTCAACCCGATTGAAATGCTGTGGCATGACCTTAAGAGAGCGATTCATACCAGACATCCCAAGAATATTGCTACACTGAAACAGTTTTGTGAAGAGGAGTGGTCCAAAATGACTCCAGATCATTGTGCAGGTCTGATCTGCAACTACAGGAAACATTTGGTTGAGGTTATTGCTGCCAAAGGAGGGTCAACCAGTTATTAAGTCCAAAGGTTCACATACTTTTTCCTCCCTGCACTGTGAATGTTTACATGTTATGTGCAATTAAACCATGGCAACATCTAATGTTTGTGTAGTATTATGTTCAGCAGACTGTGTTCTTCTATTGTTGCGACTTAGATGACATTCAGAGCACATTTTATGCCCAATTCATGCAAAACTCCACGTATACCCCCTTCCTGCCCAGGCCAATTTTCAGCGCTGTCGCAATTTGAATGACAATTGCGTGGTCATGCAACACTGTACCCATACGAAATTTTTATCATTTTTTTGTGACAGATAGAGCTTTATTTTGGTGGTATTTAATCAACTCTGGGTTTTTTTCTTTTTTCTTAAACAAACCAAAAACCACTGAAAAGTTTGAAAAAAAAAGTTTTTTCTTAGTTTTTGTTATAAAATTTTGTAAATAAGTGATTATTCTCCTTCACTGATGTGCGATTATGAGGCTGCAGTGATGGGCACTGATGGACACTGATAGGTGGCACTGATGGACACTGATGAGGAGGCACTTGTAGGTGGCACTGATGGGCATTGACAGGCATCACTGATGGGCACTGAAAGGCAGCACTGATACATGGCACTGATATATGGCACTGTTAGGCGGCACTGACTGGCACTGTTAGGCGGCACTGACTGGCACTGTTAGGCGGCACTGACAGGCACTGATAGGTGGCACTGATGCACACTGATAGGTGGCACTGATGCACACTGATAGGCGGCACTGACTGGCACTGATAGGTGGCACTGATTGGCAGCACTGATAGGTGGCACTGATTGGCATTGATAGGTGGCACTGACTGGCACTGATGGGTGACACTGAAAGGCAGCTCAGATGGGCACTGATAAGTGGCATTGACGTGCACTGGTAGGCACTGATATGTGGCATTGATGTGGCACTGATGGGCACTGGCACGAGGCACTGACACAAGGCACTGATGGACACTGACAGGTGGCACTGCCGGGGCTACACTGATCATCAGGGCACACTGATCATCAGTGCCCTGATGATCAGTGTAAATGTCCCCTCCGTGGAAAGCCGATTACCGGCTCTCCTCTCCTCTTGAGCTGTCAGCGTGACGGCTCGAGAGGAGAGAAATGCCGATAACCGGCATTTCCCTGTTTACATGTGATCAGCTGTGATTGGACACACTGTCCGAGGGACACAGCGCACCGCCGATTGCCATGCTGCGCGCTCCCTGAGCCGCGCATGCGTGGTGAGAATGGGAGGACGTCATATGATGTCCTCCCAGAACAAGAGAACCACCTTGCGTCCGCCATATTACTATATGGCGGGCGGGAGGTGGTTAAAAATACAAATCTACATTTTTGGAATGCATTTACACATATATGTAAAAACATATGTTAAAATTACTTTTTTATGTGTTAAAAAAAATCTGAAGAATATATTTTAAAAAATATATATTTTAAAAAATAAAAAATGTAAAAACTCATTTCAACATAGAGTGTATATATATATATATATATATATATATATATATATATATATATAATTTATATTTTGAAATATATTGAATATGCCCAAAATTGTAGCATTTCAAATATATTTTTCTTCCATATGTGTTGTGACTGTTGGTTTGCACAGTCTGGACAAAGTTTGATTTAAACATAAACCGATAATCTTGAGGAGATACTCTTATCTTTTAGTGAATTTAAATGGGTAACGGGTAGCTTTGTATTTTAGCAAGTGAATTACGGTTTTTCAGTTAGAAGGTAATCACACCCCAGCTCAATAGAGGGTAGGGACCCATCCATTTAGTAATGCTCAGGGTCTGTATTCTCTTTTTTATTTTTTAGTAGAAATTACTGCCAGAGTTTATGCTTCAATCAGTTCCAGGTATCACCTAAATCCAACCAGCCAGAATTACATTTATGTGGCTATGTGTGTTTGTTATGTGACTCATCTTGTCCTTGGAAGATTTACATTCCAATCATTCTTTCACATCTGTTCCTGACCTGTTTGCATATGGATTCTTTACTTTCATCCAGCACATTCCATGCTGTCCTAAAAATTCCTTCATTCCTTTTGTAGTCCAGACAATTCCCTGTGTTACCTTTCACCCTTCGACACCCTCGCCCTGTACACTGGTCACTTGGTGTTGCAATGCTGCCACTTCAAACAAGAAATATGTTTATCATTATGTTGAGGATTGCAACATTTCTTAGGTGTGTAAAACTACTGTTTTTAGGCTGCTTTCACACTCACTGCTTTTTATTCAGTTGTTCGGGTAAAAAAGCAGAAGAAAAATGCATGAAAAATGCATCTCTTTAAATCCTATGGAACTCTTCTCACTGGTCCACTATGTTTCACTCACATTTTTTAAAAATCATGCTTGCTGCATTTTTATGCATGTTTGGTCACCTAAAAAATCAGCACCAAAAACACACCTCTCCATTGAAATGAATGGAAAATGCTGTAAAACGCATCAAAAACACAACGCACTAAAGTGCTTTGTCCAATCTATAGATATGGGGGGAAAACACAACAGAAACGCATCAAAACACAATGCAACATGGCAAAATCGCATATGTTTATTTTTTGTTTTTTTCAATGGAGCAGTGTGGTGATTAGAAGATCATACGGATTTGATTAGAAGGAAGGAACACAGTATAATCTGTTAGGTTATGATAAGGCAACACCCCCCCCCCCCAAAAAAAAAAAAAAACCCAAGATGCTTGGATATACTAAAAGCTGTGCAGTACAGCTTTGCCTTCTTAAAACAGAAGGTATGTGTTAATGTCAACTCTTCTACTACAAGTCATTATTACTCATTTAAAACAGGACTTTGGTCAGCTCACAATAATACACATGTAGTTATTAATTGTTTATTTATTTCAGGTACTTATATTGCGCCGTCAATTTACGCAGCGCTTTACATATATATTGTACATTCACATCAGTCCCTGACCCTCAAGGGGTGTACAATCTAAGGTCCCTAACTAACATTCATTCATACACATACTAGGGTCAGTTTAGACCGGATCCAATTAACCTACCAGCATGTCTTTGGAGGAAACCAGAGTACCCGGAGGAAACCCACGCAGGCAACAGGGAGAACATGCAAACTCCAGGCAGGTGGTGCCGTGGTTGGGATTCGAACCGATGACCCTAGTACTGCCAGGCAGAAGTGCTAACTATTTAGGTGCCCCCCCTTACTGTATATTCATGATCAAATGAATCAAAACAATTAGTCTGGGGGGCATGTAACAGAGAGACTACTTACCTCTTCCTTTGGTCCCACAGATTTATTCACTGCTGATTCCAGTATTCTAAACCGGTCCCACAAAGCTCCTCTAACCAGCTTCTCTAACCATGCAGACTTCTGCCATACCAATGTCATCATGTACAACGCAGGACCAACAGCCATTGCTAGTCCTGCACTGTACGCAATGATGTTGAAGGCCCACCCACATTCCACTACTAAAACAAAGAAAAGCATCGGCTACAGTGGAACTGAGAAAAAAGTATTCCTCTGTTCTACATCTCCCTAGACTAAATTTCACCTACCCCTTTCAGCTTGTAGGCAGGTGCAGTCTGTTTTCTTCTCTGTAGGTGGCACTAAAACCGAGTGCTACCACAGCCTAGAGACGAAGTCTAAGGGAAGCATGTTTTCTCTATGGTTGCCTGGGTCAATGGAGCTGTGGCCATGTGACCCTTGGCATTCATCTTGGGTCAGCAGGATCTATTTAAGTCCCTGCCCCAGGTTTTTTTGTGCTGTGTGCAAGTGGCTAGTTTAGGGAAAGTGACACCGATTGCTAGGGAGAGTCTTTGTTGATGCGCCGTACTTATCACATAGAGTGAGTGTTTTTAACCCTTATAGGTCTCAATCAGGGGCAACTCATGGGGCCCCCGAGCAAAAGGGGATCATGGGGCCCCTGTGTCCTTACCCAAACTCAAAAAAGCCTATGAAAACGGTACCAGGGGCATCTCATGGGGCCCCCTACCACCCCCAGGTCCTCAGGCAGTGCCCGAGTTTCCAAATGGTCATCCGCCCCTGGTCTCAATAAATATATCAGTGAACAATATACCAGATTTTTGTCTTTCCTACATACTGTGTATGGTGTAAATGTATATCTATGAGCTGGATGACAAGAGTGAGAGTGCTGAGGAAGCTGGATCATTGCTCCATTTTCCCTTAAAGGGCAATGAGCTCGTTTGACCCCTTTTATACATGTGAGGTCTGAATATAAGGTGAGCGGCTTGGTTCACCACACGGGTGAACGAAGGAGGAGGTTTACAAGTATTGCACTGAAATGAAGATTGACTTACAGAGTTTTTTCTTACACAATTTTTTACAGCTATATGAATCATGGACTTTTGTGATAATTTGGTACTGTGACACTTGATGTACTTTATTAATTGTTTTTCATATGAGAATGTCTATTATTGCAATTGATAAATTTATATTTGCTCATACTTTTTACACTTCATTTATTGGTGGTGTTGCACTTGTTTGGGTTATTTGATAAAAGTAGGTGAACCCCTATCAGTTTTTTACCTGCATTTTTAATGCACACAATGTGTACCAGCCAAAGTCAACCACATTTTTTAGCATTTTCATAGCAATGGCAGGCTCTTCATTCCTCTCTGTACAAGTTCCATGCTATGGCAACACACCAAATTACTATAATTCTAGCTGCATCACATACAGGACAAACCAGTTTCCTTTACATAGAAACCACCTTACAATGAGCCAGCAGCTGATGACATCTCTGGATAACTAATGATGTAAGTATCTGGAATGAAGAGCTTACAAAACAGCATTTCAGAAAATGAAAACACTGGCATTTTTTAGTTACGAGAAAATGAAGTTGTGGAAGTGTATTACTAGGAAAATGTTCTCTAATAACATTATAGATAATTTTTCCAATGTCATTTTTCATTTTTTAACCTCCCTGGCGGTATGATTATTTCAGATTTTTGGTGCTGAAAGCGGTACCATTTTTTTGCATGGAAATATGTATTTTTTTTATTGTAGGCTGTAATTTTTAGGAAAAACTCACTGAAATCTGTCCGAACAAGAGTCTAGTAAACATCCCGGGTAGGATAAAATTTGAAACACAAAATCATAAATTATAATTTAATAAATAATCATAAAAATAATATAAAAATAATAAAAAATTTAATTCAATAATATAATCAAACCAAAAACACTGAAATGTGAAATAGAGCGCCAAGTTCGCACATTGCTGAGCTCAGTCGCAAAAAATCATTTTCAGTTTCTGATGACGAATTTCCCCCACAAATCATTATCACTCAATTCTGTAAGTGGTTCTGATTTACTAGCGCTGTTCTCTAGCTGATCTAAACCGCTTTTGACCTAAAGGGACACTTTTTGGACGCCATGGACATTTCTCAGTTTCCAGGCAGAAAGAACAGACAAAATGCAGGCAGGGCACAGGACAAAGCACTAGGGACAATATGTATGTGAAATAGGTTGAAACAGCAATGTTTTACTGTGTAAAATGAAAAAAAAAAAAAATGACATTTTTTTAAAATTTTTAAATTTCCCGCCGCCGCCGGCGGCGGCGCCCGTACGTCCCGACGTCACAGGGACAGGACACAGAAGCCGGATGCCGGCATCGGCCGGAGGAGATGGCCGGGGACGCTGCAGGGGGGACATCGTGGGAGCGCAGGGTAAGGTAAGTGAAGAACACATGCCGGAGCAGCGCCGCATGGTATTCCCGAGTGTAGCTCGGGGTTACTGCTTTTGGTACTGAAATGTTACCCCGAGCTACACTCGGGAATACCGCCAAGGAGGTTAATTGGATCAGAGCCACTTTTGTTGAAAGTGAACAGCGGTGGCCCTGGGTACTCTTTGCCTTTCTCTCCCTACTTTTTTATGACTCGATGTTCATGAGAATCTATTATTTTGGCATCCATTCACTAATTAATGGCCAATTGGGTAGAAATTGGAGAGACTTTATCTGAAAGTGGCCATTAAAAGGCTGTGGCCAAGTGGATACTGTAATTCTCGGTCAGCACTGTTTGGGGCAACTCAAATCTTACCTCTGGATTTTGGTAAGTATTACAGATGGGATTTTTCTAGTTCCCACCACATTTCCAAAGCAAAAATTGGCTGGTGGGATACTTCTAGAATCTGGTATATCTGTTTTGGGGGCTGGAGGCATTAATAGGATGATTTT